CAATGAAGGTAGTTCAAGGACAGGATGGCTTGATTTAATTATCTCAAAGAAGACCAAGAAAGGGTAAGAATGGAAATGGATGTGGCACCTTCAAAGTGGTGACATTAGATATAAAGTGGCACAAGACTAGTAAATGGGAAGTAATACAGTCTTTCTTTTTTTAAGAATAATGGTGAAAAGGTTATCTGTCACAGGATTAGAGTTAAAAAAAAATAATGGTGAAAAGGGAAGAAAGGGGACAAGCATAATGGCGCAAGGGAATTACAAAGTAAAGGCGAAGTTTTTGTTTTTTAAAGATTATTTGTGCATGCTGTAAGTGAAAGATGCCAGAGAGGGAGAGACTGAAAATGCAGAAAGGAAAGGGATTGCTACTTTTGAATTCCTATAACATCACTATATGAGTCACTCAGCACTTAGCTTACACATTTGCCGTGTGTTGGCAGTACTGTACATTTAGCAATGCTTGCACAAACTAAGTGCTCAATAAATCTTATTGTTTTTCTTCATGTATCTATACATATTATCCAGCCAGTAAAAGTATACAGTCTTACACAAGAATGTACAAAAAGAAACGTGGTGGATTGTGGAAAGAGACTTTGTGCAATAAAGACCTAGAACAAGAATTTTTATCCACCACTTACTGGTGCCCAAATCAAAGAAAAATCCCTTTACTTCCTGGCACCTGTTATTCAGCTGTAAAATGGGAAGAATACTATGTTTCTTGCAAACTTGAGAGGATTGAATGAGATATTTGACAAGCACTTTATATACAACTTGTTTCTTAAGAAGTAGCAGTAATTACTATTATGATTATTTTTCCCAACACCAGAACACCCAGAAGAGCCACTGACTTTTCAGGATACCTACAAGTAAACTATTAGGAGGCATATTAGCCACTGTTTTATTGTATTCCAGAGAACCAAAGCACAAAATGACACCGGCTCTTGGTCAGACTTCTCAAAGTCTGGTTACTGACGTACCCCAACATGATTTCTGCCACATCCAAACAGTGCAACCTAATATTTTTCTTTACATCAATTCATTTTTCTTCAATTGGCCCCATTCTAAAAAATTACAGCTTTGAAATGGTGGGTTTGACGTGCCGATTATCTTTTTTTCTAATATACATTAACCATTAAAATAAAACATTCATTCCCCCTAATCACCCTGTATCATCTCCTAATCTAAAACTGCTTTAGGTTGCTCTACTTCTGAGACCCTTAGGAAGAAAATAGGAAAGCAATCTGTGGGTTCACTTAATTTTTCTGCTACTGGTGATTACCATTTGCAAAGGTTTATAGAGCATATAAATGAAAACAAACAAATGATAAAATCCATTCCAATGATATACACTGAATCTTTTCATGGGAAGTTCTAAGTTGTCTAAAGCTAAACAGACAGCCCAACAATACCTATTATTTAATCCTTCCACCTTTACTTTCTCTATCATAAATGAAAATGAAACTGGGACTAAAGGCCCATTTGTGGTTTAACATGGAGAACAAAACCAAGGAGAGGAGAAATATAGTAATGGGTTTTGTTCTGAAGTACTAACACTCAGTCAAAAGAAATGGTTGTTGGCATGCAGATCATCCAAGTGAAAAATTGCCACCTTCAAGATAGTGAAACACTCCCTCTGAAAAGGGAAACCACACTCATTTATTAATCAATACCTTTCAAGTCAGTGCTACAATCCAGGAAGTTCTTCATCACTCTAACAACAACAAAGTCACTGACCAGAACCAGGAGAGAGAACTTTACTCACTGATCACATCCACAGATACTTTAAATATGCTATTTTAGAGCCAGTCTTAAATTCATGTTAAGAGCCACACTACATACTTTTTAAGTCACTCCTATAATTTCATTCTCTTAGGATCACTGAACTATTCATTTAGGGGAAAAATGTATCCTGCACCCAAAGTATACATGACATTATGGAGACTGAAAAGATCAAAGAGTGTTTATAATCTAGCATGGGGAGTAAGATTTATATATTCCCAAAATGATTGTTCTAAGGACTGAAGAGAACTGCTGGGAAGTTTTTCCCCAACAAGCTGAAATAATTTTTCAGTGAACATTTGAATACACACCACTGAGATTCTACTATTTTCACTATACCTGATTTATCACATATCCAGCTAACTACCCAGTCTATCTTATTTTTTAATCAACTGCTGGGATTTTAAAAATGAGACTTTGTGTGATGAAGTGTGACAAAAATATACTAAGGGCTGATTCTCAAAAATTTTGACCAATGAGGTATATGAACAAAAAAGTTTGGAAACTTCCAAGGTCCAGGTGAGGGCTTAAAAAAAAAAAAGTTTAGATACCACAAACCCGTATTGTGTTCAAATCTCTTGCCAACCTCCAATCAAAATCTATTCAGAGCTCACAACTGGCTATTTAGGTCTCCACACCCTTGTCCACTATCTGAACTATCCTCAGTCCTCTTCATGGCTTAGCACAAATCGGTGAAGCCTCCTCCAACTTTTATTCTCTCACCCAAAATCAACCATGACCCCTATAGGGACCACATTTTTCATCATTGCAATTAGTACATAGCATCTACTATGACTTTGTTTTTAGTCTGTCTCTTTTACAAAGCCCTGACCTCCTTGAGGTCAGGAATCCCCTTATTTACCCCTTATTTACCTATGACTCCTCAGCAACCAGTTTAGTATTTAGCAAACAACAAGCACTCAGTAAAAGAATAATAAAAATGAATGTCCTGAACCAGTCTTTTCCCAGGAGCCAGAGAAGAGTTTAGTTGAGTGTGGAAATGATCTATCACAGTGGAACTTCAGAAAGATTCATCTTAGAGCACTGTTCTTAAGAGCATGAGCTATGGAGGCAGACTGCATGTATTGCTGGGTGACTTTGGGCAAGTGTCTAAACCTCCTGTTCCTCAATTTCCTCGTTTAGAAAACAGGGATAATACTGCTTAAGTTATTGTGAGGACCAAATGAGATACTTTTCTTTTTTTAAAAAAAGCACATAGATTAGTGCCTAATACATAGTAAGCATTCCATCTATGCAGTCACTATTGCCAAAAACCAGGTTAATAATGACAATGCGGTGAAAAGTCCTTAAAGCCTGGATGATAGCAATGAAAACAAAGTGGAAAGAATGGCTGTGAATGAAGAATCTACTTAACCACTTCGGGACCTCACCCGCCGCGAAACCTTGCCCACAGCTGGCACTCATAGTCCACCCGATAGCTCCTGCTGTGCATTGACAACGAATCCGTTTTGCTCTTGTGTGATGAGGAAAGCTTTAAAGCACTGAAAGCTTGTTTTACTTTACAGGAAGCTTTACTTGTAAATCAGAATAGGTAACATAAACATACATGTTTTCATTATGTTATTTTTAAATGTTCACAATTTTATTTTGATAAATGAAAAATTAGAAAAGTCATATCACAGCTGTCGGCTAAAGCTGACGTGCGTGTTCATCTGTGGTTATCGACTATAGTCAATGATTGGCTGTGTGTGTTCATCTGTGGCTGTCGACTATAGTCGACGCTAGTCCCGAAGTGGTTAAAAATGTTCAGTCATGAAGGCAAGCAAATGGGTGTCTATTATATCATTTTCTCTACTCCAAGACAGCTCCTGATTGGATTTTATTAAAAATAGCTATAATTTATCCAGCCTAGGCACAGATTTGATGCTGAGCACTAGGAGTCTAGGATGACTGGACTCTAGTCACAAGCTCTATAATCAATGCAAGCTTCTCTCTGTAGGTCCTCCAGTAACTCAGCTTAAATTTCTTTCTTCCTCATTACTCCACCAGGCACCACTTCTGTATGTTTGTGATTCCCACAATCTCCCTTCTTGTCTAAATGTGAGGACAACTCCAAGAACCTATGTTGGGGGAATGGGTTTACAGTTTCATCCTACCCAACCCTATACTACTTTTCTTTTTCATCTTCCTGCCTACCTCCTTTACTTCTTAAGCCTTGCTATTCTCCACATAGGAACTTGAAACCTAAGAGTAAGGGAAAGCAACAGAGCAACAGCAGTGGTGCCAAGAACTGGAGATGCTGCCAAGCTGTTCCTCAGGCCCCATATGCAGTGACCCAACTACATGTAGATTGGACTTAACTGCCCAAGGTGCCTCATACACTTGATATTCCTTTTTGCTTCTGCTCATTTTCTTTCTCCCTCATAAAGCAACCTCTCCTCCCAAACTTATGACCCATTCAAATCGAACCCATCTTTGAACACCCTGATGAAGTCCAACTTCTTCAGGGAAGCTTCCCCTGACCATTTTAGTCCACAGATATTCCCCCATGCACATACAAACAGGTACTATACTTACTGTCGGTTCCATAAAGCATAATCACATACACATTTAAATGATTAAATGTTTCATGTGTATGTATTTGATATTTTAAAGGCAGGAACCGTGTCTCAAGTTTTTCAAACCCCTTCAGTGGGTTAATACTTGTGAACAGTGACTGAATCGGTGGGATTTTGTTTGTTTAAGGCTGAGGCAGGAGGAGATAGAAGAATATTGAAATGAAAAGGGTTGAATGGACAGACGGGTGAAAAAGAGGCACTGGGTAAAGATGGGAAAAAAAGTGTTCAACTAACACCTGTTTAATTGATTTTGTTGTGAGGTTGGAAAGAGACATAAGAGATGTTAACTGGAGAAAGTAGAGAAAGGCATTTCAGCTTGAGGCAGAATAAAGCAGGAATAAGGTGCAGCTACAGAGAAATTCTGCTTAAATTCTGCTAAACCCTAGAGAGAAGCCAATTGAGTAAATGAAGGTGAAGAGAGCAATTGGGATGACATGAGTAGAGGTGTGGTCAAGTAGGTGAGCAAATCGGTAAAGGGTGGTATGAAGGCGGGTAGATGATCAAGGGTAGTTAGGCAGGTAGGATAACTGTTTGGGCAGGTGAGTGGGTAGATGAGAAACAGGTCAGCAGGTGGGTGGTTAGGTGTTTAGTTGGGAGGGAATAGGTATGGAGCATGTTAAGATCCGGCCCCTCCCTCACCTTGACCCGGAAGCGGATGAGTGCTAGCCTCACGCAGTGGCTCAGGCAGGCCGGTGGCAGGAACCAGGCCCGTGGTGGAGGGGTGCCCTTGTTGCCCACGTGTCCCACGATCAGTTGTGCTGTCTGCCGCTCAGCCTGGCACCGACGGCCCCACTCGGCCAGCCGGTCCTTGCCCAGGCCCCCAGGGAACATGACCACGAGCTCCAGGCCGTCGCCGCCGGGATAGGCACAAGCCTGGCACAGCGCTGACAAGTAGCCCAGCATGGCGTTCCATTGGCCGCCACACACCCAATCCGTCTGGTAGCCGCCATACAGCCGCGGCAGCGCAGAGCCTGCATGCACCAGCACCCGGGCCCCCGGCGGCGGAGGGGGCGACGAGTGCAGCCTGGGCTGCGCCTGGCCGTGGTGGTGGAAGTGGTGAGCAGGGTGATGATGGCGAGTCGGCCCCGCGCCCCCGGAATAGGCACCCAAGGCAGCGGGCCGGAGAGGCGGTTGCAGAGGCGCGGAGCCCCTGGCGGCGCGTGGAGCCCCAGGCGCTAGGGTTGCTGTCGGTGGCAGCTGGCGATGCAGGTGCTGTTGCTGCTGCTGGCGCGAGACAGTGCGCGCGAGTTTAAGGAGGTCCACGGGCACCACGGCACCGGGACAGCGCTTCTCCAGGAACTCTTGGAAGCCCTGGACACCCATGCTTCGTCGGTGTATAGATGAGACAGCGGCTGCGCAAGCAAGCTAGGCGGCGATCTGGGCGCGAAGCAGGGGGCGGGCGCGTGCGCACTCCACGGGGGGCGAGGGGGGCGGGAAAAGGACTCTCGAGGGGAGGGGTGAGGGAGCGAGGGAATGAGGGCGGGGCGGTGTAGGGAGGGGATCACAAACTTGATTTGGGAGGAGAGGAGGCGTGAGGCAGACCGTACTCTGGAGAGGCTGGGAGAATAAAATCGATGACGGTTCTAGTCATTTCTCCTTCTCTCCGGCCGCTCTTCACCTATTCAGAAAGGGTGAAGACTCTTCCATCCACCTCCAGGAGCCATGTTGCCTCGTCTTCACCATGGTACACGCTTTCTAGCTGGAGGAAGGGGCGTGGGGCGGGGCAGAGGGGCATCCTGGGAGTTGTAGTCTCCTTTATGGCCTCCGGAATGCAGTGGAGGAATAAGACTAAGACACCTGTCAGCCCTTGCGCTCACAGGGTCACAAGAGGCGGGACGTGGTGATCACTGTTTTAGGATTTGCACTCCAACTCCTTGCATTTTACTGAGTGGCTTCAGGCTATTCATTGCCTTTTCCAGGAAAAGGAGTTTTAGGGGAAGGAGTGAGGCATCATGGGAAAGGAAGTAGGGTGGTTTGATTGAATTCAGGTAAAGTGAGCTAAAATTCCCGGGGAAGGAGAATTTTCCCCTCAATGGAAAAAATAATATGCGTAGCTTTTAATAAATGACAAAGAACACATATGAAACATGAAAATAACGACTAACGTGTAAGAATCCACTTTCAACTACAGTACTTTGAAGAATTGTTGGCCTCTATTGGGAATGGTGAAATTTACATTATTTGCCCAAGGCAATGCAGAGACAAAGAGAAATTGAATGTCCTTAGCCCTCAGGATCTTCTTGTTCTGGGAGATAAGTACCAACACAAATTAAGCTACAAGTTGTACCTTTTTGATACTCACTGATCTTCTATGTCCTATGGTTAGGTTCTTTGGTTTCCAGACCTTATTGTGAATTAGTCTGGAGCTGTTCAAAATAGTTGCAAGGGCTCTAATTTCGGACGTACAGCACCAAAATTTTTTTTTCCCCAAAATTTATTGATGAAGGACATGATAGGTTTACAGAGCAAGAGCAAGATAGAGGTTTACAGAGTAAGAGCAAACTATGTTCACCACATAACTGCGAATGGCCCTCTTTTCAAAAAGGTCTAGAATCTTAATCTTTTGAAAAGTCTATGTTCATCATGTTCCTCAAATGAAACCAATATAGCACTTGTCTTCTTTCTGGCTTTTAGGGCACACTCTTAGAGAGAATGGCCTGAAAAAAGTTAAAAATGTTTTCTGTTTCTTCAAAACCCCTGACCCTTTTCCAGAACTAAAACCTATATCCTTGCCTCAGGCTAGTGGTAGGGACAGGCAGGAGAATGTCCTTTGCTCTTTGTGCCTCAGGAGATGGCTCTGGGGAATTGCCCTGGGGGAGGTTACCAGATTGTCTTGGCAAAAAATGGGATTATGGGATTAATCAGAACCTTTAAATGCTCTGTACTTCTGCTGAGGGGGAGAATGCTGGTACTCTGAGACACGGGAGTCTGCCAGCCTCATTTGCCAGCAAATTAATAAACTTACCTTTCCTTCTCCCCAGGCCACTTGTCCTTCTTCTGATGTGGCCTTGGGGACAAGTGCTGCACTTTCAGTAATACTCTTTCAGCAGAAATAGAGCAGAAAACAAGATCTGAAGTGAGTAGTAGTCTGATCTGGCTTGGAATTTACTGGAAGGTGGGATATAATGGCAGGCAGAATTAGAACACAAAAGTGCAGAACCCAAGACTGATCAAGATGAATGAGGTCTGAGAAAACTATTAGGATGCAAAACCAAAAAGCTTCAAGCCACATAAAGGAATTTATCATAAAAACAGTGAAGATAGAACAAGCCAGATTGGCAAAGAATGAGTAGATGGTAAGGCAGTTCACATAGGTAGCTCTTTTTCTAGTATGATGGACACATATTGGATTGTCCACCCAGCCTCCCTTTTCTAGGAATTGATGCTCCTCTTCCCCCATTTATAGAGTTATAGCAAAAACTATTGTTTCTATACAGCTTATTGGGTCAGAGGTGGACCCCTAATTCAATCTGGGATGATCAGAATCTCATTCCCTAGAAATTTGGAATTGGACCAGAGATACCAGCTTTTCTCTAAATGTAAAGCTTGGAAGCTGCCAGCAATTTTCCTACCAGAGGAACAGAAGTAAAAGATACCAGTTTACAGAAAGAGAAGAAAAATGCAGACTCCCAGAGAAGAGCAAAGATGAGAGATAGGGAGTCTTCATTGTGTTCCAGCCCCAGGTTCTAGATCATTCTTTGAGGTATTCCTGTTCTTGGTTTGTCTGAGACAACCCCATATCCTTACTATTAATGTTTTTGTTTAAGATAGACTTGGGTTAGAAATTACTTATGACCAAAAGAATGTTAACTAACTCAAGAACTGGTATCAGAAATGGGGTGTGGCAAATTATAGACCTTAAAATGGGGAACTGACAAAGATCTGAGATTTCCTGCATCAGCTGATGGGAAGGAAGTTGGCATTCTGTGTTAGTTGGCAGTAAAGCAGTTGCTTATTGCTTTGGTACTCAAGACAGAACAGCCCCTTTGCTTGTATAAAGAGATCTACATTCACTGAGGGACAGATCATTCATAGGCCTTGCTGACTTGCAGAACTCTTAGCCTCATTATACAGGTTTCACTGATTAGGAAACTGGCATCTAAGCAATTAGAATGAAGTTATCTGATTATGCCTCCTAAGTATTTCTTGTTCTCCAACTCCCCAAATGTGATGATGTCTCCTCTGTATGCTTTCAGAATACAAAGGAGAAGGGGAAAGTGTGACATTCTCAGGGCAGATCAGAAAAGAAAGGATTCACAGTATTGAACTCAGGCTATGATTTCCTATCAGAACTCTGACCCAGAGACCTTGAGCAGAATGCCTGGGAGAATGAGCCAAGTCCTTAGGTAGAGTGCTAAGAAATAGAAGCTGCAAAAGGATGATCTAGGCTATTGCTTTTAGGAGATCTTAAGCTTCAAAGAGCATAACTAGATGAGATTCTTGGCACTGATTCTGAGTCCTCTGAAATGAAACCAACAAGCAGTCAAATGAGGATTTTAAGGAAGTTGTATCATTAGAAAATCTGGTGAATAAGGACCATAACTGATCAGCCAGAGAAGTGATTCTCAAAAGTAATGTCCATACTACTAAGCGAGGTATCCCAAGAATGAAGAAACAAGCACCACATATACTCACCAGCAAACTGGTATTAGCTGAGCAGCACCTAAGTGGACACATAGGAACGACATTAATTGGGTATTGGGCGGCAGGGGGGGGAGGGGGCAGGTATATACACACAATGAGTGAGATGTGCACGGTCTGGGGCATGGGTGCGCTTGAACCTCAGACTTGTGGGGGGAGGGGGCAAGAGCACTATTTGAAACCTTAAAATTTATACCCCCATAATACGCTAAAATTTAAAAGAATTTTAAAAACATATGTTCCTAGGCCAGGCGTGGTGGCTCAAGCCTGTAATCCTAGCACTCTGGGAGGCTGAGGCAGGAGGATGTTTTGAGCTCAGGAATTCGAGACCACACTGAGCAAGAGCAAGCCCCTGTCTCTGCTAAAAAAAAAATAGAAATTAGCTGGAGAACTAAATATATATATAAAATAAGCCGGGCATGGTGGCGCATGCCTATAGTCCCAGCTACTCAGGAGGATGAGGCAGGAGGATCACTTGAGCCCAGGAGGTTGAGGTTGCTGTGAGCTAGGCTGATGCCATGGCACTCTAGCCTGGGCAACAGAGTGAGACGCTGTCTCAAAAAAAAAAAAAAAAAACCCAAAGTATATTCCTAGATCAGCACATCAACATCACCTGCAAAGTGTTAGAACTGTAACTTTCAGGCCTCACCCCCAGACCTCCAGGGTAGGAAACTCTGGGTATGGAGCCAGAAATCTTGGGTTTAACCACTTTGGGACCGCGCTCACCGGCTGCGAAACCTTGCCCACAGCTGGCACTCATAGTCCCCACGATAGTTTGTGCTGTGCATTGACGATGAACCCGTTTTGGTCTTGTGTGATGAGGAAAGCTTTAAAGCACTGAAAGCTTGTTTTACTTTACAGGAAGCTTTACTTGTAATGTAAATATCAGAATAAGTAACATATACATATATGTTTTCATTACATTATTTTTAAATGTTCACAATTTTATTTTGATAAATGAAAAATTAGAAAAGTCATATTATGGCTGTTGGCTAAAGTTGCTGTGCACGTTCATCTGTGGCTGTCGACTATAGTCGATGCTGGTCCCTAAGTGGTTAAGTAGTATCAAAGTTAAAGCATTAGTTAAAGCAAAGTGGTGAAGGCAGATTTTATTCAGGAACTACTGACAACAGGTTAAAGAGCTGAGCACAGAGGTGACTGGGCATTTTAAAGGTAAAATGAGGAAGTAGAGGAAGGGGGGCTCAGTAGAGTCTGGGAAGTGAAAAATTAGAGGACTTGTCAGTATAAATTCGATTAGGCCAACTGTGTCTGCTAGCTGGCAATTACTGAAGTTAGATTTCTATCCTCCTGGGGAACACACCTTCGTTTTATTCCAAAGGCTGGGTCTCCCCTAAAAAATTTTCTGTCCTCCCATATAGACTGGGAGATAGAGGCCCTATCCTTCCTCATGGTTATATTTTAAAGGATTGGCTTTCAGGACCTTGAGAAATACTCCAGAGTTGTAGGAGATACATGTATATCTCAAACAGACAGAAGAAGGACTCATAATTCTAAGCCCTTTTTAAGTAATTGATCTAAGTAAGGGAGCCTATCCTGGGGTGTTAGCTAGAATAAAGTGTCAATTCTTTTGACAGCCTAAAGCTTGTCCTGACATAAATTCAAAAGTGGGCTGGGTCTTTCCATGGATTTGGTCTTAAGTTGCTAGAAACCATGCTAAAATTTGGTCAAGTCTCTCAGTGCAGGGATTTGAATGGAGTGTTCCTGCCAAGTTGTTTTTTTTTTTTTTTTGAGACAGAGTCTCACTGTTGCCCAGGCTAGAGTGTCGTGGTGTCAGCCTAGCAAGCGATCCTCCTGCCTCAGCCTCCCAAGTAGCTGGGAATACAGGCATGCGCCACCATGCCTGGCTATTTTTTTCTATATATTTTTAGTTGACCAATTAATTTCTTTCTATTTTTAGTAGAGACGGGGTTCTCACTCTTGCTCAGGCTGGTTTCGAACTCCTGACCTTGAGCCATCCTCCTGCCTTGGCCTCCCAGAGTGCTAAGATTACAGGCGTGAGCCACCGTGCCTGGCCTGCCAAGTTTTTGCAGGTCTCACTAGCCCTCTAGGTGATTCTAACCAGCACTCTCAAGTTCGAGAATCACTGTTTTTCTAGAATATACCTTAGGTCCAAGTCCAGACTGGTTAAACAAGGAGGTGTATCAATAAATTGACTCCCATGAGTTTTTCTATGCCTATAATTTATTTTTCTCATATCCAGGTGGAAACAGACCTAGTGGCTGATAATGGTGTGACCTCTACTTTCTGAAAGAGGAATTTTGATTGTGGTTATCTAATTATTTCTCTGCTATTGCATATTTAGATCTATTGGTAGCAGTTAATTTTATCAGAGCTTGAAGGATCAAGAAGAGCCTCATTTTGGGTTGTCACTGAACTAGAGAAGGAAGGGGTGTGTCCATGCCATGTCATTGCTTCTGGATGCAGTATTGCATATGACCTGCAGATGTCCATGGCTGATATTAGGTGTGGGCATTTTTGGAATTGTAGATATGGGGAAAATGGCATGTGTGTTTATGGAGCAGCCAAGAGGAGGACTATAG